ATCTGAAGATGGTGGTACAAGAGATGACCCGAAATCTAGATCTAAAGGCTGAGTAGATGCTTGATTAACTATCAAAATTGCTATTTTATTATATTTAATGATTGATTAATTACATATTATTTGTGATTAAATATGTTGAATTCCTTGATTTTTTTGGTTTGATACTTTTTCTAGTTGTTTGGTTTATTTTGCAGGTAAATTGATTGATTTAAAGTAATAATGGATAATGCAAGTGAATTAATCACTAGAGGAAGAATCGCAATTGATAAGGATTGAAGAGTCAATATTGAATAGGAAGACTTGAAGATATGATTGCAATTTAATCCTTATAAGCGTCCAAAATGGAAGAAAACTCATTTAAAGTTGGATTAGGAAAGTATCCTAGAAGAATAAGGATTTGACATGTCTTCAGTATTCTGGTCATAACTTTTGACTTTGATATCCGATTTACTTGATTTTTGGGGCTTGGAAAGAAGACTCCAAGGGCTACAAAAGTGTATTTCACGAAAATTTTGTGATTTAGCCTCTAAATATGCAAAATATAAGTTTGGACAAATTTTATGCTCGTGCCCCAAAGATTTTATTCACGGAATTTAACCTTACAAGATTTCTTTTTAGAAAGGAATTCCTTCTNACCTCTAAATATGCAAAATCTAAGTTTGGACAAATTTTATGCTCGTGCCCCAAAGATTTTATTCACGGAATTTAACCTTACAAGATTTCTTTTTAGAAAGGAATTCCTTCTAAGACAACTTTATATCTTCTACTTATACTTAGGATTTATTTTTAGTATATATAAGGGTTCTCATCTAGGATTTAGGGGATGATTATTTTCTCATCTTTTCCTTTCTAGTTTTAGTTTGTCATGTCTGGTTACAAGGCTAAGTTAGGGCTTGAGAAGAACCTTTCAATGAAGGACGGTAATGTTATTGATTTTGAGTTTAATGATTTATGATATTTTGTTAATTTAACTTCTGATTTTATAACAAAATTTTTGCTCTGTAAAAATTCTTGAGTTGTTGTGCCATGTACATCGATTGCTTGAATTTTCTTGCGAGTAAATAATTGGTTATTCCATACTTAAGGTAATTATCATTATTTTATAAAATAATATAATTGGATGATTATTCAGGTTCCTAAATAATCTTTTGATTTTCTTACTTGATTTGTTATTTGAATCAACCGACATCTGATTCTTGTTCCAAGTTAAGTTTTGAGTCCTTAATCATTATTGTATGTAATTGAGAGAGAGTACCTGATGCTCAAGTATTTTTATTATTGTTTTAATTATTTAAATCAATTTTCTCCACTCAACAATTCTCTAAACAAATCATTTATTTTTTTTTAAGTTTGATTTGATATTTGTGTAATTACTTTCTTGTTACAATTCCTTGAGGGTTCGACCTCGGTCTTTCGAGAAATATATTACTTCGCTCAACCTGCGCTTGAGTTTACAATATTAAAGTTGAAGCAGTGCTGAAAAATATGGAACAGATTCTTCAAATATGACGTCAGCACTAGGAAAGTATCGTCGTAGAGAAAGACTGAAGCAACGATACCCTTTCTGCGTGCGGGAGTAACCAAGAAATACACATTTGGTGCTCGAGAGTCAAGTTTATCAAACGCAGGACCCAAATTGTAAACATAACAAACACATCCAAAAACTTTAAGAGTTAAGGGAAATAAGGTCTTACTAGAAAAAAGAACAAAATATGAATTTTGTCTATTTAACACAGAGGATGACATACGATTAATAAGGTGATAGGCAGTAAGAATAATATCACTCCAAAATATCGAAGAATAATCATCTAAAATAATAGGGTACGAGTGACTTCCAACAAGTGATAGTTCTTGCGTTCAGCAACACCATTTTATGGGAAGGTGTAAGCATAAGAAGTCTGATGAATAATGCCAGTTTTACTAAGATAAACTAAAAAATGATAAGATTCATATTCCCAAGTATTATCAGAACGTAAGATATGTATACGACAACCATATTGAGTTTTTATTTTCTTCCAAAATATCTCAAATATAGAGAATAATTTAGACCGAGCTTTCATCAGAAACAACCAAGTTACACGAGAATAATCATCCACAAATGACACAAAAAAAGGATATTTATTAGATAAAATATTCTTTATTGGACCCCATACATCAGAATGTACCAACTCAAATGGACTAGACACACGATTATTGACTCTAGACTGAAATGACACACGATGATGCTTACTAAGTTAACAAGCTTCACTAGACAAAGACGACACATAACTAAAACTTAGAGCTTGACGCTTTAGATTCTGGAGAGAAGAATGTCCAAGACGACAATGCCATTGAAAAGGAGACAACGAGGTCTGTAGAGCTCGAGAAAGTGAATCAAAATTAAAGTAATATAGGCCACCAGCTTCATGCCCAACACCAATCTTCCTCTTCGTCTTGAGATCCTGAAAGACACAATAAGATAGATAAAAAGTTACAGAACAATTGAAAGAACGAGTAATCTTGCTAATGAAAAGTAAACTAAAAGGAAACTGAGGAACAAATAACACAGAAGATATGAACATATTAGGACTCAAGTGAGTACTTCTCAGACCTGAAACTTTAGAACAAGTACCATTAGCAAGAGTCACTACGTGTGAAAGTAGCAGACTGATAAGTAGAAAAAATATTAGACGCACTAGTCATGTGGTCAGAAGTATCAGAGTCTATTATCCAGGGACTACGAGTGAAGGACAATAAATAAGTGGAAGCAGTACCTAACTGGGCAAAAGTAACAATGGAGGGAGATGGAAAAACCTGTGCTGGGACAAGAATTGAGCATACTCCTCTCGTGTAATAGTACTAATCCAGAGTCTGGTAGAGCTGACTGGGGTACGGAAGCAACAACAGAGATGTCATCCTGATAGGAAGCTTGATTTGCAACACTAAAAGGTTTTTCATGTAAATCCCAACAGAAATCAACAGTGTACCTCTCACGGCTACAGTGAGTACAGGAACGAAGTCCATTACAACCCTCACAGCTACCTATACTACCTCTTGTACGGTCTCCTTGACCACCATGATCACCTCGATGACCATCACTGTGGTTACTGGAGACCACAAGAGCTGAGCGATCAGTGGAGACACCATGGTCAATGCCTGAAGTAGACAAAGTAGCACGTTATACATGAGAGAAAACCTCAAGTAGTGAGGGAAGGCTAGAACCACCCAAAATTTGAGAACGAATAGCCTCATATTCAGGTTTTAGTCCTACCAAAAATCTAACAACATTTATGTCCTCATGTTGCTTTTGTCAAACTGCTGCATCAGTAGTAACGAATGGTAGGTCTTCATCTCCTTACAGACTCCCCGAACGTGAAAATAATAATGGTCAATGCTTAGAGTACTCTGTTCCACCCGAAAGTATTCCTTGCACACCTTATAAGCTCGGATAAAATTGCCTGTACCAGAATATATAATGGCCAAGTGATCCCATGCCTCCTTGACAGTGTCAAGGTAGAGTAGAGTAAAACTAACACCAAGCTCAATGTTATTCAATAGTAAAAAAATAATTTGAGCGTCCTCTTGCTCTCACTGATCATAACCAGGAGTGTCTTCCTTGGGTTTAGGACCCATCAAATATTTTTTAAATCCTTTACCTTGAAGAAAGAGTTGAACAGATCAGGACCATAAAGTGTAATTAGTCTCATTGAGGTTGATAGAGGTTATAAAACCATTGATAAGAATCTGAGGAGGCAAAGATGGAGAAAGGGACCTAGTATCTTGCTTGGGTTCCATAAAACTGCAGCAAATAGCAAACAACAAGTGTTGCAATGTTGAACTAGAGGAAAAGAGACTACTAGAAGGTTGAACTAGGTTGAAAAACCAAGCTGGATTGCTGAACCGGACAGGCTGAGCACTCTGGACCATTGAACCGGGTTGAAAAAGCTAGCTGGGCCACTGAACCGGACAAGCTGAGCCCTCTGGATCATTGAACCGGGTTGGAAAAGGTAACTGGACCGCTGAACCAGACTAGTTTGACTTGTTGGACCACTAAACCGGACCGGTTGGACCTCTTGGATCTGTGAACCCGAGTCAAAACTGTCTGAACCGGTTTGAACCACAAAAAACTAGACTGAATCGAGACCAAACTGGGATTGGTCCAGTCTAGCTGGTCTAGGCTGGACCGTTGTCTTCTTCGTTGGTTAGGGTTCCAGAGGACGACTACGCCTCACCTTCAATTGCACCTCACAACCAACGACAGATGACAAACCACAACAGCCACACCACGACGACGACAAGCGACATAGACACTGACCATTACCAACGATCAACACAGACAACCACCAACAATCAACACAGACCGCCACAGACAGGCATCACCACCAACGATCAATACATACCACCACAGACAAGCGACACAGACACAAACCACCACCAACGATCAACACAAACCACACCACCAACGGTCAACGCCCAATAATACTTCCGTCACCAAAAATTAATTTATTCAGAATATATATTTATCGTCTTAACGCTCCGATGTGTAGAGAANAACCACCACCAACGATCAACACAAACCACACCACCAACAGTCAGCGCCCAATAATACTTCCGTCACCAAAATTAATTTATTCAGAATATATATTTATCGTCTTAACGCTCCGATGTGTAGAGAATTAACATAATATTAGAGAGATGTTAAAACTTAGCTTAACTCTCATACTTTACTTGTATTTATAGTTAACTCATAATAATAAAAATTACACATACACCCTCTTACTATTAACAATTTACACATATTACCCTAATATTCTTAACAGTTATAAAAGGTGGAGAGAGTGAGAGACATTGCATATCCTGTAATGAAACCCACCTTCTGCTTGCTCATATTCAGGTCTAGGGTTGATTATGAGAAGCAAAAAGAAACACCATAGAGAAAGAGAGATAGAAAAGGCATGTTATATCAGAGTGGACGTCCAAATTTCAATCGAGGTCTTGAATATAATCTTACCCAAAAAAGTCCTTAATATGAAAAACCAAAAAAATAGGGAAAAGGAATGGTTACTGTTAACATTCCTCAAGCAATTATGGATTTTATTCTTGGTAGAAACCAGAACCGTGACTCCAAAGAATGCATATTAAGTCAACAGAAATACACCTCCCAATACAAAAACCACCAGTAAGCTAAAAACAAAGTTTACCAGCAAAAACCTAAAAGGTAACAGAAGAATACTGGAAATGACCTCCAGGTACAGAGAATCTACATTAGATGTCTCACATCGTGTTCATCAGGTCACTAACATTGTAGGCTATTTGTAGCTATAAGCAAAGCCTGAGTTGAAGTTTCTGCACATTTACTCCTTTACAGTATTGTCCTCAATCTCATTCTCCACGAAGTTGGAGGCATTAGCCGGACTAATGAGTCCACTATTATATAGGACATCCAATTCATGAAAATAGGAGCATAATTTACCACTATCAGGACGCTTCTTTCCATTCTCCATTGTTCGTTTATAATACTTGTTTATGTTTTCCCATTTCTCTTTACACTTTTTTGCAGTCCGGCTATAGCCCATATTAGATAATCCAGCAGCGACCTCTTCCCACACACTGCATTTAGGGCCCTTTAGGAACTTGTGATCCAAAGCAGTCCTCACCGTTATGAGCGCTTGTACTTCAGATTTTGGCCATCTCCAATTACTTGGATCACACTTGGAATCTTCTTGATTGTGAATTTCACCTTCATCTCTTTCTGGGCATAAGATTTCCAATGGCTTAGGAGTTTGAATTTCATGGCCTAACACATTCTGAATGAAGGATATGAGGGCTAGACCACGAGATGTTTCTTGGGCTCTCATCACCTCATCCTTCTTTGCTCTTTCCATCTCCTGCTGCTTCCAAGCCTCTTCTCTGATGATTCTCTCCTGTTCCTTCTTCTCTATCATGTCTATAAACTGTTTTTGCATTTGCTCCTGCTTTTGCATAACTCTCCCCATCATATTCTCCAGAAATAACTTGAGTTTTTTCCTTGTTTTCCTCTTCCTCTTCCTCTTCTGATTCAAAGGTTCTTTGATGGCTTTGGATGATTTGTCACCATCCTCTGAAGATGAGCTGAAACCAGAGAAAAATCAGTTTAGTTAGCTCAACCTTGGCCCTAGATTAATCCGATGTCAAAGAACTACTTTAGCATTCTAAACCACTTTCGAGATGGAAGTCTTCTTCTGGAGAGAGTGAATTCCACCCGGTATTGCCCACTCCATCTCCATAAATCTTTTATGAATTTAAGGCAACCCAGAGGTCACCATTAAGAGTACTTCTGTAAGACACTCTTTATGGTCTCAATTAACAAGCCTTTTTTTGAATTATCTTAATAAACAAGCTATCGTATAGAATTACTGTGTTGATAAAATAGATTAGCTGCTACTAGTTAAGGCATTAATTGCTAGCATATACTTTTCTTCTTTGGAAAAATGAAACTGCATTGATTTTGATGGTCAAATGTAGGAAGTGTATTTCTGAAATCTGATGGAACAGTTCCCAAGTTTATAAAGAAAATTACATCAGCTCTAATCCTACGATGGCAGAGGCCACTCAAACACTCTCCCATTGCCTTCCCACCACCCCATGACATTTCATGAAAGCATTAGCCCTAAAAGCACGGTTCCAACTCTGGTCACCACCAACATCCAGCTGCATGGGGTGGGGGGTAGATAATGAACCTTACCTGATCAAGCTAATACAAATGCTAAGCAAATTTGAAAAACATGCAATACAGGGGATGCATCATAGACTCATAGTTTAACTACTACCATACACAAACTGTACATTAAAAGAAACATAATCCGTACTGGTGCATTAGCTGATTGTGATGTTAAGTTGTTAACGAATGTTGTCATTTTCTGATAAACGGTCAAACCCATCTGATTCCTCTCAATTCCTCATGTATAAAATTGGTAAAACACACGAGTTGGATAACTTTCCAAAAACCTGAACAACACAAGCAAAACATTGAACAGAAAAACAGACCACCCCCAATTTGTGATATTCTCAACACGAGTCATCGAAATGAAAGCAATTCAATTCTTCCAATTAATACCATCATCTCAACTGGACTAGCCATGATCAGTTACAACTTACAATCACATAAGAGTTGCCCTTGTGGAAATTGTAACATATTAAGCATACAATGTTCAATCCTTTTTCTTTGTCTCATTTTTAGGGAGTGTTTTGCTGAAATGATCCTCATTCTTGAAAAGACTTCCATTTTAAGTCTCTCTAGAAAATAATTCCAAGAATAATATTTTTCTTGCCACATTCAAGCTGATTTGGAACTACTTACGGCATTCAGCCTTTTGTTTCTAAGAATGAAGTCCATTAAAAATATGGCCTCATTCTCTCCTCAGAAATTAAATATTTTTATTAGCCTTGATTTCCACTATATATTTGATGCGAATTTGCAACACACCTTAAAGAAAAATCTGGGGTTAAATACATTTTTTTGAGGAATAAAGACGAAAAAGAAGATCTCATATCACATTCACATTATTATTGTGTTAAACTCAGATCTTCCAAGTGCTCAGGCTTTAGGTAGTTTTTTGGGGGTGGGGTATGATTGAAAAAGAAGAGAGAGAGGGGGGAAGCAAAGCCAATGACTACTATACAGTCATTTTTATGATTTGCTTTTCGCCTGCTTTTGGGTTAGATGACTTATTCACCTTTGATAGTGTCTGTAACTTCTCTTTTTATTTTTGTTATTAATAAATCTACTGTTTCTTATCAAAAAAAAAAAAAGAAGAAGCAACATTACAGTTTGAATTAAAATCCGAAACTTCCACAAAAAATATACAGTTTCGGAATAAACACAAGAGAAGAGATTGAACAATAATACCTCAATTCAGCCTCCAAAATTCGTGCCTTAGAGACTATATTCATACACTCAGCTTCCATCTCCGACTTCATTTGCTGCACCAACACCGCCGGAGTATTTCCAGCAAGACTAACGCTACTATTTCCCGGCAGAACACCACCACACGCCTCAGGTACTCCATTGCCTACACAAAGCTTCGGACTTGAGAGCTGAGTGAGAAACCCTAACTCATACGACGAAACAACACCGTCACAGCTCATTAGGGCTCCATCAAGGCCTCCGTTAAGATCCTCGAAGTACTCCGTCACGTTTCGGCCGTTGCACCTAATCGGACGGAGCTTCTGAGGGAGAGTGAGCGAACAGCGTCCAACATCTGGCTGAGGATGAACTCTGGCAGTCGGATTAGGACAGAGTATGTCGTCAGCGGTTTGAGCCAAGGGGGTTAGGTTATCAGGGAATCCGACAACGTCGTCTGTGGGTATTTTCCGGTCGCCGGTAAAGACTTCCATGAGCATCCAAAAGGTTAAAAAAACAAAACTAAATCGGCCGATACGGAAACGAGGCAAGGTAAAAGTTAACGTAACTAACTACTAACCAGGGAGTAAATGAAGAAGAATCAGAATTAGCAAAACGACCCCTCAATCTGTGTATATTTACTATATTACCCTTCCATCTGACTTATCCGCCATTAATTTGGTTTCTGAAGAACAGTCCCAGGCCATTTGTGGCTGTGTCTCGTATGAGTGAGAAAATACCCTTTTCTTGGGCCCCGTAGCGTTCTTGCCAATAAAATACTATTTTTTTGGGATTTGGGACTCCTACACTGGATGTAGTAATTACTTTATTTGAAGATTAATTATGATAATCAGACACCTTTCACGGCCTTCCCTTCTCCGTTTCACAACCACAAGAAATCTGTGTTTGTGTTTTCAGAAAAATAGCCGAGTCTATTTNATGGATGGAGTAAATTACTTTATTTGAAGATTAATTATGATAATCAGACACCTTTCACGGCCTTCCCTTCTCCATTTCACAACCACAAGAAATCTGTGTTTGTGTTTTCAGAAAAATAGCCGAGTCTATTTCACTCTGCGAACAAAACCACCTCACAAAGGTAATCAATTAACTACTTTGTTCAACCCAAGTATCAACAAACAACAAATTTTGTAGCTTATAATTCGAGTTAGTTATTTTTCAGGTACATATAGGGTTGGATTTGGGAGTCGTCTGAATAACAGATTATCAATGAGTTCTTCGTCATCAACTGTTTTATCTGAGAAACAAGTACAGCAAGTTGATAACCTACTTACTGCGAAAGACGACGACCATGGTGGTGTCATAGTAGAGATGACCCCTGAGCCCCTAGACTCGAGTATATTCGTTTCGCTGCTCAGAGCTTCACTTTCTCATTGGAGGCAACAGGTATTCAACTTTCTCTCCTTTTTTTTTTAATATAAGAATTCCCTTCATTTTCAAATCGAGCATCGGTTTTATGTTGCTTTAGTAGTCAATTGCATCGATAACCTGGAACATGATGAATTTATGTGACCCCTTTCTTACAATTTGTTTAATTAATTACATGTATTCTTGGGTGCAAACGTGAGGTAAAGTTTAATTGTTTCTTCTATTGTTTTTGTCAAGGATGTGAGCTCTTACAAGTGCAGGATGAAGGGGTTGATGTTTACGTTCAACTGAATATAAGCCTGTTTGCGTTAAGTTCATTTGTTTTTGGATATAACAATAAAATTGAAATAAGTATACTTTTGTGATATTGACCATGAATTTTATATCAGTTGTTAGTGGCATTTAAATGACAATCTGTAGTTATTTTTATGTATGAAATTGTTGTGCTTTATATGAGGTTTTGATTGCATGAAACCACAGATAATACATTGGATGGATATACATGGTAGTATGTTGTAAATTATTTGCATGCTAGAATGTTTAAGAAGCTTGATCAAGCCGCTCTTAACCTTTTTTGGGGGGAGCATGTTACCAATTCCAAGATGGTTGAGTTTTTTATGTTAGTGCTCTAATGTAACCCTTTTTGTTTTGGACTGGGTTTATAAGATAGCTAGTGGTACTAAAATGTAGACCACCCATTGATTTGTTACTGACAAGTCAGTGCTTGTTGCCTTTTGAGCATATTAGTCTGATTACTTGTCTTTGCATCATGTTGACTTTCATCATATGATTGTTCAAGTTGTTTGTTTGTACTGAATTATTGGGCTGCTTTTTTCGCAGGGTAAGAAGGGTGTTTGGATCAAACTGCCTATCGAGCTTGTAAATCTTGTTGAACCTGCTGTTAAGGTCACTATGCTGCTCTTAGAAAATCTAGTTATTTTTCGAAGTGAAAAGCTCATCTTGAATGAAAAAATTGAGATATGAGAATCTTGTTGACTGCCCTCTCTATCCACTGCTTCATATTTCGTCATTGTGCAGATTTCGTTTCTCCCCTTTTCAGTCAAGTGTTTCATATCTGGTCCAAATGCTTTGCAGGAAGGATTTTATTACCATCACGCCGAACCAAAATACTTGATGCTTGTGCATTGGATTCCTAATACTGTTAATACTCTCCCAGTGAATGCCACACATCGAGTGGGTATTGGTGCTTTCGTCATGAATGAAAAGAATGAGGTATAGCTTTGTAGTCAGCTGATACCTATTTTTTCTGCCTGCATCTGATTGAAGCTCTCGTGTTAATAGGAAGCCTTCAGTCTTTATTGTGTTTATGTAGCACTCCTGAGAGGCCCAAACATAGGTTGATAGGATAAGCTATTGATTTCAGTGATCTTAACAATTTTTTATGGTCCCTGGTAGTTGTTTCATTTGCTATGCTCTGCATTCTGCACTTGCTCTAGCTGCAAGGATTTTTATATGCATATAAAACCAAGGGCGCACAAACTTATGGTGGAAGGATAATCAGGGGCAGAGCCAAGAATTATAGAATCGACAACATTTGTAAAAAAAAAACATTTATTTATATAGAGAAACATTGTAAAAAAACCAATAATAATAATCCAATTCCAAGCAATCTTATGCTTTACTTCTGAATACAAACTGGCAAAAATTTAAAATATACAAATCAATGTCAATCGCAAAAAGTCCTAACATCATGGCACACTAAACATTAGTTATGGATAATTACATTCATATTATCAATGAAGCACTAATAAGTCAAGAAAACAAACCAAATAAGGAAAAAATCATGGATATAATAAGTGAGAGTTATCAAAACAATGTGTCTAATATTTAATTGAAAGTGTTCGTTACGTATTCATAATCATTAGATATGGGTCTATACGAAAATGATAGGGTGGACACAAAAAATATATCAAAAATATAAATATAAATAATTTTTTTAAAAGTTTGAGGGTGGGCCAAGGCACACCATGGCCCCCACTTGGCTCCGCCATTGAGGATAATGTGTTCCATTTATGGTGTTTCGCCCTCCGGAATCCTCATGTTTACTTCTGATCCAGATGTGCCAGAATGCAGCCTTGAACTTCCAATGTTATGTGGTAGTAGCAAAGGATCTATAGAAATGGCAGGAGGTGCCCTTTCATTTTTTTTACTATTTTCTCCCTAATCTGTGTTGCGTGTCGTGGCATGCACATATATTTACTTGTGCTGCTAGGGATGACATTCTAGGAAGTCTCCCATCCCACCATTCCTGACATTAGGAAGGAATGGAGAAGAGATGCCTGTAGCATGGGTTGACTGAATTGGATTTTGCCAATATTTTTCCTTGGNACATTCTAGGAAGTCTCCCATCCCACCATTCCTGACATTAGGAAGGAATGGAGTAAGAGATGCCTGTAGCATGGGTTGACTGAATTGGATTTTGCCAATATTTTTCCTTGGTAGCTGCTGGTTGTCCAAGAAAAGAGTGGAAGATTCCGTGGAACTGGCGTGTGGAAGTTACCCACAGGAGTTGTTGATGAGGTATGTCCATCTGGTAAGTTCTTCACCACACATAACAAAAAAAATGTGATCTTTTTTTGCATTTACATGGCCTTTTTCTCTTCAGGGGGAAGATATTTGTGATGCGGCAGTGAGAGAAGTAAAAGAAGAAACAGGAGTGAGTGACAAGGGTGTGATTTAGTTGTTCATTCAAACTCGAGTAATTTCAGGTTTCGGTATATGTTTATCAATAATGATGATTTCTAAATTATTGGGTTTCTGCCTGCTTCAGGTTGACACGAAATTTGGGGAGGTACTAGCCTTTAGGTATGAGACTTGCTCAANAGGTATATGTTTATCAATAATGATGATTTCTAAATTATTGGGTTTCTGCCTGTTTCAGGTTGACACGAAATTTGGGGAGGTACTAGCCTTTAGGTATGAGACTTGCTCAAAATCATGCGGTTCCTTACATGTTTAAACTGTAGCTTTATATTCGTAATTTTAGGTTTTACATTAATTGGCAGTATCTCGTAGATTGGCACCTTACCAAGTTCTAGTCATATGGGCCCCTGTTGGTTCAGATCCGAGAGAGAGGTCATTTCCCTACAACCATACGTGAATCATGCAATGGATGCAGTAATCTAGTTTTCCTGACTTATGAGTGTAAATGATTTGATATACTTGCAACATATGGATGTCATATAATGATTTCCTGGTACTTCTATAGTATGACATATTTGAGAAATAGGATGAATTTCACATCCATGTGTGCTCTCTACTTTCTGTTTCATATTGTCACTTTGAGAGTTCGATGCACTTAGCAAATTTTATTTCGTTGATTTACAGGCAAAGCCACAAGTCCTTTTTTGACAAGTCAGATTTATTCTTTGTGTGCATGATGCACCCTCTCTCCTTTGACATCCAGAAGCAGGAATCGGAGATAGAGGCAGCTCAGGTATGTTCTGGTGGCCAAATAGTGGTTAATAAAGATGTGATGTGTTATTGCTTTAAAATATAAGGGAGCTCAGCTTGAGTCGAACTTAGTAAAGCATGCTCAAATTGAACTCGAGCTTGATCTGCCTGGTAGTGTGTTCCCAATATAAAAAAAAAACACTTACATTAATAGTTGTAAAAATACGGGCCTTTCTTCGAATGAGACCTTAGAAACTGCCTACTTGGCTGATACGGTTGAGCCAACCCTGCTTTTACCACAATGAATTTAAAAGAAAACTTTGCCTGCCTCAATAATCCTTGCTAAGTAGTCCAGGGATCAAGTGCCTCCAAAGGATGAATGATGGAAGGAAGAGGGGGAAATTTGATTTTGAGACATCGTACTCCCTGCCTGCCAACCTGACCAAGTCAAGACGCAAGTGGTTGTAGCTCAGCTCCTTGAATAAGCAAGTCTAACATGGGGCCAAAACTTGTTTGGGCCAAATAAAACCAATTCTAATGAGATTTAAGAAGTCCAATCTCAAGCTGCTCCGTTCGTTTACAGCCTAAAAACAGTTTTAAATCAACCATAATTGCAGTTACTGGTGATAAAACCTTACATGGTTTTCCTACCTGCAGTGGATGCCGTTGGAGGAATATGCAGCTCAACCTTTTGTCCAAAAACATGAGCTTCTTAAGTACATTGCTGACATGTGCTTTGTTAAGAAAAAGGGGACGTATTGTGGATTCTCTCCAGTGCCTACATTAGCTGCTTTTTCTGATAAGAAGAGCTATTTGTACTTAAATAGGCAGTGCCTAGACAGCCTCTAAGATTTGGTTCTCTGCCCCTAGAAGTATATTGTTGTAACCTTTTCAATCTGAATTTATGTGCACACACTGTTTGATTCATTTATCGTACAGTGATACTGTCCTTGGGGAAAGTTGAATAGATTAATCTCTCTCTCTCTCTAAGTGAATACCTTTTGACTTGTTACGTATTTCCTTTCGTCCCCATGATTTGCATGATACTCTAACGAGGAGCTTTACTGGTTAAGTGTTTAGATTCGAGAGAGATTGTGTAGTAAGTTTACAGAATTGCAAAAACAATCTATTCCTCACCATTTCATACATGGCTTAAAAGTGACGTGCATAGCAACTCCAATTATTGGTTTTCCTGGGTACTCTTCGACGCAAGCTTTGGTTTTAGATGTAAAAATTAGATATTGTGAAACTTCTATCTGCAGAATAAGTAGGCGAGCTCTAAGACTAATTGCATAGCTTGTATGAGGACTGGATGAATCAGTCCTCTCAAATCCTGATTGCATTCATATCAAAGGACCATAATTTCCTTCTGTATCCACTCTAATCAATCGGAACATTATAGTTTAGAAAGAAACTGAGATGAATTAGTGATAAAAAATCGAATTTTCCATGTTTCAATGTTTCTGTGAGGTCTGAAAATAAAAATGTATTTCATAATTTTTTTTTGTTTTCATTGTGTTTTCAAAAGAAATTCGAAGTGTTTCTAAAATGTTTTCATTTTTAACCTAACAAAAACTATGAATCGAAATCATGTATTAGCCCAAAAAATTGCTACCAACTTTGTTGGTCCAAACCTACCCACCTGCATATGTGCCATTAGCTGTTGTCATGTATTGTTCATCTTGGTTAACCAAGTTCAATCTGATACAGATTGAGAAAGACACGTTACTGGAGATGAGGGATAGTTGGGGCAGGCTTGACAAATACATTGCAAATTCTATGCTTCTCATCCAAGGCTAAAGGAATATGAGGAGGAGGAGCACTCGGCTCCTCTGTTCTCTCAACTCTTGCTAGACTTCGGTTTCTGGGATTAAAATATTAGTAAGGCGATTGGAGTAGGCTACCTACCTAACAGTTAGCCTTTTCCCTTCTAACTTCCAACTTCTTCCCTGTGCCTCTGGTACACCGTGACCTATATACCTCTCTCTCTATTTTTTTTTTCCGGAGTTACCCTCAAGTTGGAGCTCAACTACTACTTCTGCACATATGACCAAAATGCCCCCATATAGTAATCTATCGTTTTTTTTTCAATTGAATTATTTCTATTAGCTTGGCAACATTGGTCTCAAGCATAGGTCTGATCATTACACAAGCTTCTTAGGAAAGTGTTAGTAACTCAGCAGAGTGGTTATTGATAATTTCTAAAATAGGGAAATCCACTTATTCTGCATAGTGTAGTCTTATTGATTGGTGAAACCACGTGTCACCGATGACATGATATTATCGTTGTAATGAATATTTTCTTCTTTTATTTATAGAGGGATTACATTAAAATTCTATAAAAATGTCTTAAATAAATGTCATTTGTCACTCACTTAACTATTTTTTGTCGAAACAAACAAAGTTAAAAAAATTGATGGTGCAATACGGTTAAGTTAAAAGTGGAGTGAAGTAAGACTCCTGACAAAAAAAAAAAAAAAGAAGTGATTTTTCCTAGTTTTTTTACTTAAATTTTTAAAAAGGTTAGTAGCCTTTATGAAACTAAAAGAAAGAAATGTTTAGGAAACTGAAGGGTATAAATGTACATTGAGGTATTTGAAAAGGGCATATGAACCATGCAACACCTTATATAAAACCAAAGACGGTAGCTTTTCATTGTCCCACTCCCTTCATTCCTCCATCTTGCGTTAATACCAAGTCTATGAACAAACCAACACAAAGATGATGAGCCACTTTTGCGGCAGCGACAATCTTGTGAAGATCATCATGTCTTTGATGTTCATCCTCTTCATCTTCATTGGAACCGCCCCTTTGGTGGCCGGACGACAGAATCCGTTGGTCGAACTGTCCAGTAGAGAGGACTTGATAAAAATGGCTGGTTATGGAGAAGAGAAGCTCTCCACAGTCATGGTCAGCGGGACCGTCCTTTGTTACGCTTGTTCGGATCAAGAAGCTCAAGCTCACCCACATCCCGTATCAGGTTTGTTTATTCTCTTTCCATTAATAGCTTCAAGGGACTATCAAGCTCTGAGAGGAAACTACAAGCCTGTATCAGTTATATGAGTGTTCACTTCTTAAAAACAACTCAGTTACGGTTATATAGACGAACACACATATTTGTATATATTCATACATACATACATACAGAGAGAGAGAGAGAGAGAGAGAGAGAGAGAGAGAGAGAGAGAGCTCTTCCATAGTTTCGTATACGTAGAATAAATATATTGACCACTAGAAGTCTAGAACAAAGAGGTCTATACTCGAGAACTGGTTCAAGCGACGCAGCTCTTCTAATGAATCCAACAGTTAATCATCACATTAGATCACTGTCAATACCAAACAAATCTTGGCATGGATTGAAGCTCAAAAGTCAAAAGACGTGAGCTTTTCTCATCACTTGAATTAATGCGATACACACCTTAGTGGATAATAGAGGACGCATCAGTCGAATATCTGAAACTTCTTTCGGCCGTTAACTTGGCCATAAAATCTTAGCATTATACATAAATGGATGATGTATTTATTATACTTTCACAAATTACTTATTGGTATCGTATTGATAATTANTGAATTAATGCGATACACACCTTAGTGGATAATAGAGGACGCATCAGTCGCATATCTGAAACTTCTTTCGGCCGTTAACTTGGCCATAAAATCTTAGCATTATACATAAATGGATGATGTATTTATTATACTTTCACAAATTACTTTTTTTGGTATCGTATTGATAAATATGACCGACATAATATGGTAGAAACAAGTCGTAATTTGCGCATGTTGATTAAAAACNATTGGTATCGTATTGATAATTATGACCGACATAATATGGTAGAAACAAGTCGTAATTTGCGCATGTTGATTAAAAACTTTAACAGATTGCGTTGTAATCTTTCTAATTTTTTGATGTAATACTGAATTGAATTCAGTACCCTAGATACCATTATCAAGTGTTTTACGTCGAGTAGTGAATTTTTACAGGAAGTGAGCCTCATCCTCGCTTTTGAAAACCAAACAAATCGACATTCTATCTCGGAAAAAAACAAAAAAAAAACTAAAGCTTTTCAGGCAGATCTCCTATGAAGTAAGTGTGAGATTTCAATTTCAAATTTTGTGTAGAAAGTAAGATGTTTATAATTAAATCATATTTGATTGGTTTTCATTTTAATCTGATCAATTCGTATTCCCCAATATTACCTTATTTAGTAATTCATCATGCTCCCACATGCCCATTAGTTACGGCCAAAACTGTATTGTATNATAGATTTTTCTGACATTATCAAGTGTTTTACGTCGAGTAGTGAATTTTTACAGGAAGTGAGCCTCATCCACGCTTTTGAAAACCAAACAAATCGACATTCTATCTCGGAAAAAAACAAAAAAAAAACTAAAGCTTTTCAGGCAGATCTCCTATGAAGTAAGTGTGAGATTTCAATTTCAAATTTTGTGTAGAAAGTAAGATGTTTATAATTAAATCATATTTGATTGGTTTTCATTTTAATCTGATCAATTCGTATTCCCCAATATTACCTTATTTAGTAATTCATCATGCTCCCACATGCCCATTAGTTACGGCCAAAACTGTATTGTATTTCAGTTTTGTTCATGGGTACAGCCAATCAGTTGAAACAACCACCTATCCTGCTGGTTTTTAGGACGATACAGGCAGATCCCCACAGAGTCATAATTTGAGAATGAACTTCAGTTTACTAATCATACGATACATAAGTAGCAAAATTAGGGTCTTTTCAGCCATAACAATTACAATCAGATTCATTGATATTTCTGGTGCAGTAGATGCTATCTGACATACAATCATATTCAATTCAATAAAATTGTTTGGTCTTAAAGGTGATCTTCCTTTTCTCTCACACGCTAGGGGGTATTTCTTGGTTTTGTCTAGCCACTAATAACATGATTATTAGCTTACATGAACAACGATTGTGTTCAACGATTGTCAGAAAGTTCATTATTTTGGCAGGAGCTTTGGTGGCTGTTTCATGCGATACTAGAGGGGAAAAGAGGAAATCAAATTGGGTACGAGGCAGCACAGATGAATATGGAGACTTCCTGATTGATCTTCCTTCCCACCTCCATGCAATTCCAAACTTGGAAAAGATATGTCTTGTTAAAGTGCTTCAGGTACCAAAGAATTCTCCCTGCCATCAAGCTTTTACTGGTAAACACAAAGCCATAAGATTATCATCGATTGGGGATGGCATCCGTACCTACACAAGCCAAACGATACAATTGACACCAAAAGCTTCAAAAGTAGGCACAAATACAGGAGGCAACAAAGCAGAGATGGTATAAGTCCAATAATAATGGAAATTGTATATTGGCTGCAGCTCATTTGGATGGCGCTTTTGTCACAAAATTGAGTTGCGGGGTTCAATCCTGCTACCTCTTAGTCGTGTGAATAACTTCCGTGTGTTGTGTGTGTGTGTGTGAGAGAGAAAGAAAGAGAGAGAGAGAGAGAGAGAGAGAGAATACATGTACATAATAATAATGTGTCCCATAATTTGAGTCGGCTACTAATATCAGAACTTTCCTTCACTAATGCCCATAAAACATATACTTGAGAGCAAAGCGAATCGTCAGTTATGGAGACAATGGAAATTCATTGCGCCATGTAATGTAGCATATATTCTCAGCAATTCCAAAAACAAAACAGATTCAAACAAAACCAGAGTTAAAAGAAATTTAAATCTTGCAGTCAACAACTATTCATTATCATAGTTCTGAGAGACAACATTTGAAAGAACCCTTGAATGTATTCTTATGCCAAAGCAAGAAACAATAGAATCACAAGAAGTTTCAGCTTTTCAATCAGGACTTCTCTGCAATTTTCTGATCAGCTTCAGAAATGATATATTTAGTAACATCAGCACAGCATTTAAGTCTATCAGCTTTCTCATCGGGGATCTCAATGGAGAATTCTTGCTCAAAAGCCATGACAAGTTCTACCCTGTCCAAGCTGTCGAGGGACAAGTCCTTCTGGAAATCAGCTGTTTCAGTAACCTGTTCCAGATTGAAAAGAATTCTGAATCATAATTCTCAGTCATGGTCAAATGACATTTCTTTACTGCACAGGAATAGACATTATCTGATAATCTATCCCCCATATTTTTTGGAGCGCTAATTCAACACAAGTGCTTAGCTATTTACCTTAGTGGCATCAATGCTGTTGGATCTCTTGACCATCCCTATCACTCTATCCATTATCTGATCATAGTTAGTACCATTGGACATGCTGCATATTGGCAGTTGCTGGTAGGCTCCGTTGAGTGGGTTCCCATTTTTAGCAAGGAACCAATCTTTCATCGAGACCCGAACACTCACGTATCTCAAGATAGAGTTTCGTAGACTTTGCATGTTAAGGTGGGCTGANTGCAACCATTTAGTTCTGCATCAAAACTAATGCCCATAAAACATATACTTGAGAGCAAAGCGAATCGTCAGTTATGGAGACAATGGAAATTCATTGCGCCATGTAATGTAGCATATATTCTCAGCAATTCCAAAAACAAAACAGATTCAAACAAAACCAGAGTTAAAAGAAATTTAAATCTTGCAGTCAACAACTATTCATTATCATAGTTCTGAGAGACAACATTTGAAAGAACCCTTGAATGTATTCTTATGCCAAAGCAAGAAACAATAGAATCACAAGAAGTTTCAGCTTTTCAATCAGGACTTCTCTGCAATTTTCTGATCAGCTTCAGAAATGATATATTTAGTAACATCAGCACAGCATTTAAGTCTATCAGCTTTCTCATCGGGGATCTCAATGGAGAATTCTTGCTCAAAAGCCATGACAAGTTCTACCCTGTCCAAGCTGTCGAGGGACAAGTCCTTCTGGAAATCAGCTGTTTCAGTAACCTGTTCCAGATTGAAAAGAATTCTGAATCATAATTCTCAGTCATGGTCAAATGACATTTCTTTACTGCACAGGAATAGACATTATCTGATAATCTATCCCCCATATTTTTTGGAGCGCTAATTCAACACAAGTGCTTAGCTATTTACCTTAGTGGCATCAATGCTGTTGGATCTCTTGACCATCCCTATCACTCTATCCATTATCTGATCATAATTAGTACCATTGGACATGCTGCATATTGGCAGTTGCTGGTAGGCTCCGTTGAGTGGGTTCCCATTTTTAGCAAGGAACCAATCTTTCATTGAGACCCTAACACTCACGTATCTCAAGATAGAGTTTCGTAGACTTTGCATGTTAAGGTGGGCTGATAATCAGTTAAACTCCAAAATAAGGCAGGATGCATAGCAAAAAGCATGGATACAAATTTTTTTTGGTTAGGTTATATGTGCATTAATGCATTAGCATGGTGGAAATGGAGAAGACAGTACAAACTAAAGAATAGGAATAGATTTACTTTTTCCCTTTTAAGTATATGTGAAAAGAAAGCTTCAACTAGGCATATATGCATATGATGTAAAAATGCAAGCTCAACATAAAAGAGTTTGACNGCCCTATCACTCTATCCATTATCTGATCATAATTAGTACCATTGGACATGCTGCATATAGGCAGTTGCTGGTAGGCTCCGTTGAGTGGGTTCCCATTTTTAGCAAGGAACCAATCTTTCATTGAGACCCTAACACTCACGTATCTCAAGATAGAGTTTCGTAGACTTTGCATGTTAAGGTGGGCTGATAATCAGTTAAACTCCAAAATAAGGCAGGATGCATAGCAAAAAGCATGGATACAAATTTTTTTTGGTTAGGTTATATGTGCATTAATGCATTAGCATGGTGGAAATGGAGAAGACAGTACAAACTAAAGAATAGGAATAGATTTACTTTTTCCCTTTTAAGTATATGTGAAAAGAAAGCTTAAACTAGGCATATATGCATATGATGTAAAAATGCAAGCTCAACATAAAAGAGTTTGACTTGACATCTGGTGTTTCCCCTTGGTCCCATCCCCTGTTAATTGATGCTATAATCTTTAGGTTCATGTGAATTGGAATGAATATTCTTGCTACACCAAGGACACACCATCATCGACACATGAAATTCCATTTTAAAAGCAACTACCAAAAGGTAAAAGTGAATCTAACTCAATGTGATAACGATCTACCACGTATGTGTTTCTATATATAGCGTTTATTGTGGTTTATTTTGCCCTTTTGGTTACTTATTATTGAATAGCGATACCACATGTGAAAGATGACATAGTATCATATCAAATATTCACCAGTGGAATCTTAACATTAGGAGGGGCTCTAAGAGAAGATATATTTGCTTGCCAGTGAAAAAAAATCCAGAAGCTAGTACATTCATTTTTGAACGAGGAACTAACTGCATTAAAAAGCTTGAAATTTAGAGAGAAAAAAAAATACCTTCAAGCAAAACCAACATGGCGAGGGCAATAGGAAGTTAGGGAAAACGAATTGATTCAACTATTATTTTCAACTAGAAACAATCCAAGAGCACGAGTCAACTAGGTATAGAAAAATTTATGAAGCGATCGGCTATTAATCTACATGCAACAAAATGCATTTTTTATATCACAGCCCAGCAAATTCCCAAAACCGTAGTCTAAAAACATAGAGGTAACATATGGAGAAGCTTACAAAGATCCCGTAGTCTAAAAGCCAAGTTCATAATATAATGAGCATTAAATATGACATGAGAACCATTTTAAGCAAAAGGAACTCTATGAAACTGGTAATGCATAATCAGCGGAAGAATGACGCTTTCACATTGCAATACAGAGTGTTCGGGAAGACCACCTTCATAATGTGCAAAATTTTCCCTAATCCATATACACATAAATAGTGAGATTCATTGAATATCAAAGACGTACACATACAATTATGAAGTCACCCAAGATAAGAGAAACGCAGAGCAATTTTGAATGGCGTAAAGGATAGAGTAGAGTAGAGCAGAGGAAGAAGATGCATGTGTAGTAAGTGATAATCTGTCTATAACAAGGACAGACAAGGAAGAAACCAGGAAAGAGCTCACTCACCAAGTTCCTTATGTACTAGTTGTCTGATTGTCCGCTACGTGTTTGCTTTGTTTTCGCACAGACAAAACCTGCATCGGATNCAGAGGAAGAAGATGCATGTGTAGTAAGTGATAATCCGTCTATAACAAGGACAGACAAGGAAGAAACCAGGAAAGAGCTCACTCACCAAGTTCCTTATGTACTAGTTGTCTGATTGTCCGCTACGTGTTTGCTTTGTTTTCGCACAGACAAAACCTGCATCGGATTCGGAGAGCACCTTGTGGGTGTTTCTTACCTCTTAGTTTTCTGTTCTAGGGCCGATGGGCCTGTTAAATATTAGAATGGATATCATGACCCATCTGGATAGAGGGTTGGCCCACGAAATGCCCCAAAAAGTTCGANTTCGCACAGACAAAACCTGCATCGGATTCGGAGAGCACCTTGTGGGGTGTTTCTTACCTCTTAGTTTTCTGTTCTAGTGCCGATGGGCCTGTTAAATATTAGAATGGATATCATGACCCATCTGGATAGAGGGTTGGCCCACGAAATGCCCCAAAAAGTTCGATGAAATATTGGTGTCACTCTCTCTCTCTCTCTACAAAATGTTATAATGTCTTTTGTTACTTCAATAAGATTCTAACTGTACATATGACACCTCAACTGCAGGAATAGGAAGAGTTGAAAATTATTTACATTTTGGGGGTAGAAATAGACAAGTAAAGCAACAAAAGCTTATTTAAGTAACATAGAACCCACCCAACCAAACACCCACAAATTTAAAAAAATTAGAAAAATCTTAGNGTACACATACAATTATGAAGTCACCCAAGATAAGAGAAACGCAGAGCAATTTTGAATGGCGTAAAGGATAGAGTAGAGTAGAGTAGAGCAGAGGAAGAAGATGCATGTGTAGTAAGTGATAATCTGTCTATAACAAGGACAGACAAGGAAGAAACCAGGAAAGAGCTCACTCACCAAGTTCCTTATGTACTAGTTGTCTGATTGTCCGCTACGTGTTTGCTTTGTTGTCGCACAGACAAAACCTGCATCGGATTCGGAGAGCACCTTGTGGGTGTTTCTTACCTCTTAGTTTTCTGTTCTAGGGCCGATGGGCCTGTTAAATATTAGAATGGATATCATGACCCATCTGGATAGAGGGTTGGCCCACGAAATGCCCCAAAAAGTTCGATGAAATATTGGTGTCACTCTCTCTCTCTCTCTACAAAATGTTATAATGTCTTTTGTTACTTCAATAAGATTCTAACTGTACATATGACACCTCAACTGCAGGAATNTGTGTCACTCTCTCTCTCTCTCTCTACAAAATGTTATAATGTCTTTTGTTACTTCAATAAGATTCTAACTGTACATTAGAGATAATTTTGATTATTCTTAAGTGCACATGACTCCAATATTAGAATTCAAATATGACAACTCAACTGCAGGAATAGGAATTATAATAAAATTATTAAAAGAGTTGACAATTATTTACATTTTGGGGGTAGAAATGGACAAGTAAAGCAACAAAAGCTTATTTAAGTGACATAGAACCCACCCAACCAAACACCCACAAATTTAAAAAAATTAGAAAAATCTTAGACATTACATGAATTAATGGTGGGTGAAATAAAAAAATAAAAAATAATTTATTTGCTCATTAAAAATTCTGTATACAAAACTCTCGTATATCAAAATATAGAAAAAAAAAAAAAAAGATTCCACAGACCTAAATTCAACACTTAATATATTATTAGTAATACATAAGCTCACTATTAATTTAAGGATACCAGAACATTAGGTCTCTTAATTATTTATGAAAATAGGATTATAAAAGACCAAAAAAATTTAACAGCAACAAAAAAAAGTTGACTTTCTTCAAAGAGAATGTGACCTCCTCATCCTCCGTAAAAACCACACATCTTTTGTATTTGGGCCAACAGAATACATGACCATGACCACGTTGTTCCAAACTCAAGCAAACTTGATTACAAGTATCTGTAAATTACCATAATTTTAGTTAAGTTAATGGATATCAGTAAACATCAACGATAATGGGTAGCAATATATGGCAAAATATTTGGAATCTTTGTATATATAAGATTAGATTCTGAGTCGGTTCCTTTTTGCTTTGGTAATAAAAATGGGAAACGTGACTGGTAAAGAAGATGATGATGGTGGCGGTGATGATAGCCGCCCATCTGGAGGTCTTAAACAGGATAGCATGGCATGTCAAGATAGCGATCATTCGCACGGAAATGGTGATGGCGAGTTCATGGGCCACTCCCCTCCTCCTAGCCCTAGGGCTGCTCGCTCACCTTTGATGTTCACTCCTCAGGTCAGTTTTCATTTTGTTTTTCTCATTCTGCTTCTACTATTTTTGTCTCTGCTTATATTTTGTTTTTGGGTGTGGGAAAATATAATCTTTAGGTTGCTATTGAGGGAATTGAGGCAATTTTTGATATGGGTAGTTTGTTAATTTATCACTCTGTTGTTGTAACGTACAATTGATGGCTAGATCTGAAAAAAAAAAGATTGTAACTTTGATAATTGGATTCATTTGGTGAGACCCTTTTTGTTTGGGAATTTTATTAAGCGATGGGGCAGATTGATCCTTATTGGATTTTCTTTATCTTCTGTTGGACAGTCACTGGTGTTTGATACAAGTCACCAAAGAATTGATGGCTGTTTTACGGGCTTTGTTGTATTAAAGTTCTTTTGCGTGACNCTAAGCGATGGGGCAGATTGATCCTTATTGGATTTTCTTTATCTTCTGTTGGACAGTCACTGGTGTTTGATACAAGTCCCCAAAGAATTGATGGCTGTTTTACGGGCTTTGTTGTATTAAAGTTCTTTTGCGTGACTAAGAATAATTAAAATGCAAAGGCTATTGCTTTAAGCTTTACCGGATGGACCATTTTACTGATTGCAAAGTTCTGTGTTCCTTTTTAATGGGATTGTACGTTTGACCTTAGAAATGATGACTGAAATAAAATATGCTCACCCCATGGAAATGAATGACCCATTGTGTGAAAATCATGATATGTGGCATCAAGTGCTGAACTTTTAATCTGTCTGAGTTTAAAGTGGAACTTGCTAAATCCATTTGTATAAAGTTGTACTAGATAGTAATATGATTTATTAAATTCAATTTATATTTTCGTAAAGTGTGATTTTGGTTTCTCAGAGAGAAGTACGAGAAAAAATGTGATTTTTTTTCTTGCTTTGTCATGTCTTTTCAGGTCCCCATGGTTCCTCTTCAAAGACCTGGTGAGATGCACATCCCGAGCCCTTCGTGGATGCCAACTACCTCTGGGTATGAAGACATGAGTAATGAGCAAGGAATTCCAACAATGATTACTTGGAGCTACGATGGGGAGGAAGTTGGTGTGGAGGGATCATGGGATAATTGGAAAACAAGGTTAACAAAAAAACAATGCTCCCTCTCCCTCCCTTGGTTCTTTCATATTTCAATTTTAAGTTGTATTATGAGTTGCAATATGACATACAACATTTCTACCCTGTTGATCAGGAAGCTCTTGCAGAGATCAGGGAAAGACTTCACCATTATGAAAGTGCTTCCTTCAGGTGTTTATCAGTACAGGTTTGTTGTTGATGGACAGTGGAGATATTCCCCAGACATGCCATGGGCCCAGGATGAAGCAGGCAATGCTTATAACATTTTAGACTTGCAGGTAATTTCCATCTTCTCTCTCTAGAAAATCTAAAAGATGGATGAAGAATCCAGTCTGAAGTCCAATGTTATTGTATGACTAGTTGGTGCAAAATTGACTAGTAAAAGTTGGGTGCAAGACATCTTAGACATGTAGGTTTATGCACCAACTTTATACATTTAATTGCATTCTCCAATGCCTTTTTGCCAATGGTTGTTTAGACTATCTTTTGGGCCAATCTTCTCTACCTAAATTAAGCATCTTTCTCTGTATATGCTCTTGATTGCTTTTCCCCTGGCATTGTTGCTCCTCCTTTCTCGTGTAATTGAGCATCCGCAGTGCATATATCCAATCCATATTAGACAACATTAAAATAGACAAAAATTGGACGCACAGACACAATCCATTTGTTTGCATGTGTTTAACTATGTAATTTTTTATTTATTTCTTTATTTATTTTTTGGGGGCAGGGGTTTTGATTTTAGGTGCTCTTGTGTGTCTGCGCACACGCATTCTGAGGATGCGCCTAACTCAAAAATAGCTACTCACATGGATTTCAACTGACTAATTGGTGTTTTCTTTGTGCTGCAGGATTATGTTCCAGAAGATGTTGAAAGTATTTCTGGTTTTGAACCTCCTCAGTCCCCAGATTCAAGCTATACCAACTTGCANTGAGGATGCGCCTAACTCAAAAATAGCTACTCTGATGGCATGGATTTCAACTGACTAATTGGTGTTTTCTTTGTGCTGCAGGATTATGTTCCAGAAGATGTTGGAAGTATTTCTGGTTTTGAACCTCCTCAGTCCCCAGATTCAAGCTATACCAACTTGCAATTTGTTGCTGAAGACTATGCAAAGGAACCTCCATTAGTTCCTCCACATTTGCAGATGAATTTGCTTGACGTTCCTTCTTCCCACATGGAGATTCCACCTCCTTTTTCGAGACCTCAGCATGTTGTGCTTAACCATCTTTACATGCAAAAAGGAAGGAGCAGCCCATCAGTGGTGGCACTTGGTTCTACTCACCGGTTTCTAGCCAAATATGTCACTGTAGTACTTTACAAGTCGATACAGAGGTAGACATGAGCATCCATCGGGACACTAGTCTTTAATCCGTTCATGTAATTGAAATAATTGTTAAGAGGTAAATATCAGGACAATGGCTTAAGTGAACTCCAGAAAGAGCCATACTAGCAAGCTAGAAATTTATTTGACATAATGCTAATGCTGTGGATTACCATTTATCTAGATATTATGTGTATGATTCCTTTCTGTGCTTTTCATCATTCTTCCTCTGTAGTGTCTCGAGGAGAAGCAACCATTTTGACTTATGCAATGCTGGTTTGCTTATGATAGTTCTATCGCAGTTGGAAAGGAGACACAACAAGAAACATTGTGATGAAACTTAATTGACAATCTGTTTCAAAGACATCTGCACACCCTTTTTAACCTGTGAACCTGAGGTTGGACCATTCCACTCAGTTATATGGATGTAGATTTGGAAGCCTCAGTCTCTTTAACTCTTTGAAGTACAGTTTGGCTGCATATCCTTATGACTGCCTTTGTGGACAGCCCAAAAAAAAAAAAAATTGTGATTACTATTGGAATGTGGTTTTTCGGGCATTTCCTGTCCAATCCTTAGGATGATCTATTCCATATATATGTTTTAGCATGATATGGTTTCGGATTGTTAGAGTTTAGATTGCTTGATTGCTTGGAATGCTCTTGCAATCAGTTCTACCAGAATCCCTTGTATATTCTTGCCAATGTTGCTGAAGTGAATATTATTGACCTTCGGACAAGTCGGTTAGACCTAATGATGTTTATGCATTGCATTGACCTAATCTTGCCTCACATCACATTTGACCAATTTGCATTAAGTTAACTGACAATTCTTTGTTCCACTTTGCTTCAACCATACCTTCCGATCNGCATTTGACCAATATGCATTAAGTTACTGACAATTCTTTGTTCCACTTTGCTTCAACCATACCTTCCGATCTCACAGCTATCNACATTTGACCAATTTGCATTAAGTTAACTGACAATTCTTTGTTCCACTTTGCTTCAACCATACCTTCCGATCTCACAGCTATCCGATAGTCTCTGCCATCATGAAAGAAGGGTTATCTCTTTAAGGTTCATGACATCATGTCATATTGGCCGTTCATTAGGAAGTTAACCATCGTCTGCAAGGTCTTATTACACCCACAAACTGTTTCTTTTGATTTTTTTTCCTTTTATTTTTTTTGTCATCAGAACAAGCAATGAATACATTACTAACAGGGATTGTAAAACTGAAAAGGGACTGGTAGCACATGCCCACATGGAGATAAATACTGCTCACGTGATTCTCACCTTTATTTGATTGCTGTTGCGCCTGGATCAATTTTAAGTTTTATGCGGTAAGAACAATTCATGGCAAGTAAATGCATCCAGTTTAGAAACGGAGAAACAAATTACTGTCACAAAAAGCAAACCGTCTCTTGCACTAATAATTCAGCCATCATTTAAACATTACATGGATGCAAAGCAAATAGTTTTTCAAACTTACAGCCATTTTCCTATAGCCAGCTCTAACATCTCTGCGCTTGCCTAATAGAAAAACTACCCCATTTTTAACCCCTCCTCCAGTTTACATGGCCATGGGACTACTAGAAAAGTGGACATCCATAAACCTGAATACCTGGTGCCGTAGGGCATGATGCCAATGGACAATGGTCAGGCTCCGTTCCCCACCATTTCACAGTTTTGCCCTCGTTCTGTAAGGCGAAAAACAATAGAACACCCATGAATGCTGTACCAGCATCCAATGCTGCAGAAAGAATGTAGTTATATTTCTGCCACCATCCTTTCCGGTACTTAAACACGAAATAGTTGAAGATGGTTCCAGTAATGATCCAGCTAGCAATGTTAGTGGGAGTTGCTGGTGGCATTCCGGCAAACCCATAAGATATAACAGGTATGTTAATCAACGGAATCCATTTCTTTTCCGGGTAGATTTTGCTCAGTATCCAAACGGGTACTGGCAAGACAGCTCCTATGAGGAATAACCATACCAAGTTCCTGTACAACCCTCCTCGTCCGAAGAGCCTCTCTGGTCCAATTAGCCCCCATATAACAGAAGCATCAAAGGTGACTCGGAATTTAGGGCATGTCCATGGGCTCTCTGGATGGAGTGCTTCGACATCACAGATGTTCTTGATGCTCCCTAGCATCCACCACGCAACTGCAAGGTTGACTGTACCAGTAACTAGTGTTCCCACCAGCTGGAGGAAAGAAAAGAAAAGAGAAGCAGATGCAAACGTCATCATTCTGAGATGGCGTTTGAAATTGTTTAATGCAAACTTTTTAGCAGCAAAGCAAATACCTGAGCTGTGTACATGCACCGTGGTGGAATTTTCATGTAGTGCCCAAGTTTGAGGTCAGATAAGAAAGAGAGAGCATGGATGGTGCTGGTTCGACCGTAGATCTTGAAAAGCAAGTTTGCAATGGGTTTCCCTGGTAGGATATACCCAATTATGAACTGTGCGATTATGTCGTATCCGGGTTGCTGCACAGCAATCACAAGAACATCATGACATAAGGATAGCATATCCGCAACTTGCTTAGTTTGCTATTTCACTACCCTAAGGTTTAAGTAGGAACGAGAATCCATAAAGCAGAAGATTGGGTACAGTACCTGGTTAGTAGTTGCTTGAATGACCCCGATAGGAAGAGTGACAATCCAAGCCAAACCAAATGCAAAGAGCATCCCCCACCATGGCAGCTGCACGTCGTCTTTCCACACAAAAGACACTAAGAGCGATACGGCAATGCTTCCTATCAGCAAAATGAGGTACCACCATTGAGGTACTTCTTTGTAACGTTTCATCAGTTTTGCATGGATGTCCAATTTAACGTTCTTCGCTGCAGATCTGCTCTGTCTCCAAATATCCCTAGACAGTGAAAACCCATCTTAATTTGATCAATTTTATTTGGAATACACCAAGAGACAGTTCTGATCAAGGAGTATATTTTTAACACGTCAAAAAAAAAGATGAGACAAATTCAGACATTTATGCAGGTTGTGTTTCCAACAAGACTACTTCCTCCAAATTGGAAAAAATAAATCATGTAATTCGCTTAATGGTAATTTCAATTTCAGAACTATTAACTGGCATCAGGAACTCCTCATACTTCTATGCCCATAGGTGACAGAACTGAGAACATTTTGAAATTTGAACCATCCCAATTCTGCTTTTCTTACTCAGTCAAACAGAAGTAACACATCATTAACTTAACCTTTTCACGTCTCATAGATTTCCTTTTTGCTGCCATACTAGATAAGCAATAAATGATCATACCTAATGTAATTTATGAGCAAGTAAGATATCAGCCAGAGAAAGATAATTAGAAGAAACTGGCAGTTATATTGAACAAACATGTGTGTTTGGGTATTCACACCTCAAAACTATGTAGCCTACCTGCCATGAAAAAGTGCTACATGTGTGAGTGTTGCTGTAAATCTTGCGAATCCGGATCCAATTGATAGTGCAAACAGAGGGCTAAGATAGAGCTTGCTATAACTCTCGTAAGCAGCAATGTTAAGGTCATATTGTGGAGTCAAGATCTTTTTCGTATCATATTTGTGCCCACTAGAAGTGAACAGTTGATTAGAAAATATGGGGAACTTCCGGGAATCAAAAGTATTAAACTTCCAGTAGCATACAGGTACAACTATGTAGATGAAGATAACAAAGCCTATCCCAACATTGAGAATGGAAGACCATGGTGTCACTAATGGGCTGCCATGATAAGCTGATATCCCTGCCCAATCAAGGGTAAAGGCACCCACCCCAAGTCCATGATAACCAGAACCAATCTGCTGAGCTGTGATACTGTGAGGCCATGCCCAACAGACCCATGAGAAGAATGTAAGAATTGGGAACAGATAGCCCGGAAATGTGTAATATGCAAAACTCACAGCCAGAAAAACAAGAAAAAATTGCATCCGCGTCAAGCCTTTTGATTTTGATTCCTTTTCATGCAATGCCCTGTACACCAAAGTCAAAATGTTGTTCAAAACTCAGCTGATGAAATAAAACAATAAGCTAACATAAAATTCTAAATTTGGCTATGCTTATTCAAAGTTCCTTTGTGCAGTACTGAGTGAAGTAGAGTAGTGGTATAGGTTACTTTCGCTTTATAAATGTTCTTCTAAAATTCCCCATTAAAACAATTTACGAGTTAAGAAAGAATTCCACTCATTACCTTCTTTTTCTAACCTAATGTGTCATGTTTTGTTGTNGGTACTGAGTGAAGTAGAGTAGTGGTATAGGTTACTTTCGCTTTATAAATGTTCTTCTACAATTCCCCATTAAAACCATTTACGAGTTGAGAAAGAATTCCACTCATTACCTTCTTTTTCTAACCTAATGTGTCATGTTTTGTTGTCTAGAAAGAGAATCACACACCCACTGAGCCAGACAGCAGATGGGGCATGAAGACTTTCAAGTGAATAAACTGCTTTCCCCAGTTAAAGATATAATCGATGCGCTTTAATACAAGTTTTTTTTTTGTTTTTCCAAGCAAAAAGCACATATTCTTTTGCTTTCAGATTGCAAAAGTTACAGAAACAAGGAAAAAAAAATAAAGAAAAAACAAATTTTAGGAACAGCAAACAGAAGACACCACTATCAATGGTAATCATTCGATACGTCTACTTCTTACTTTAATAAATAGGATATTTGTAACTTTCAATAACCTGATCACAAAACAAACTATCAATTCTCATTTTCTTGTTCATGTATTTTGATGTACTTCTTTACAAATTATTGTTTGAAATCATTTCCAAAGATTAATATTCATGGATACAATTTGAAGCCCTGGCAANCTGATCACAAAACAAACTATCAATTCTCATTTTCTTGTTCATGTGTTTTGATGTACTTCTTTACAAATTATTGTTTGAAATCATTTCCAAAGATTAATATTCATGGATACAATTTGAAGCCCTGGCAAGATACCATATAATAGAGAGGACATACCATGGCAATGAGAAAAGGTTAAGGAAAAATTCTGATAAGGAGAAAGACAATTTACCTAAATAGAGAAACCTGAGCAAGGTTTGAAGGCCACCACATTTCAACAGGGTCAACCAGGTACCTCCTCAACATCCCAGCCCATCCATACCCCAATATCTACAAATCAAGTAAATTAAATAAGATGACTGAATCAATCTTACATATAAATAACAGAAATATATTGATAAATGACAATGGGCAATTCCAAGGCTAAGAAATTGCATGGCAAGCAGCTTGTTGAGAATATATATATATATACATATATCTATTATGTACACAACAGGCATATTGTTGGCAGAGGGTTTGGGAAGTTTTTCCAACTTATTTATTTTTGACTTATTAAATTTAAAAAACAAAGTTTTCTTCAATCAAATTCTTTCAAGTTCCACTTCCCCAACTTTGTGCTCCTTCTTCAACTTCTCACTCCCTCTTCTATTTTAACTTTTCATCATCCTCACTTTTTTACCTCTACTACCACTAGCTAAATTAATTAAATGGATTTTTTTTCTGGAGAGGGATGTGGGACGAGAGGAAAATATAAATCCTGTGCATCGCACAGTCCGCTGCTACTGCTGGTGTAAACTTATTTAAAGTTCTCTACAGAGGAAACTAATACGTATGAAAAATTGGAAAGAAGTATCTTTCAGTAAGGACAAGAAGAAAAAGAAAAAGGCCTCTTTTAATGGTGAATGTTTGTTTGTGAACGATACAAATAACAGATAGGTATCAAATTTGCAATAGAATTCACTTGATACACTTTTCTACTTTTGCCCAATTTCCATTGCTGGGATATTAAATAATTATGTTCTACTGATTAGCTTAATTATGAAAAATTTAAAAAAAAATTGTTGTATAAATCAGCAAAACAAGAACCAAAAATTTCAGACGCAGATACACACACAGCAAAACTAGAACAAATAAATAGAATTGAAAAGCCATTCTTTATCTTCTTCATTCTTCACCTTTCTTAGTTTTAATTTGATAAACTAAAAACTGGCACAAACGAAAAACCCACAATACAAATCAATATATATATGTATGAAAGAAGTCCTGAATAATTTACCTGAGTGGTTAGGACAATAAGAAGGCCACACAAGAAATTCAAGCTCTGGTTATAGTAAGCCTTCATGACAGTAATGGCTCCGATGGAGTAAGCATCACCACCACCAATAGAGACACCACAATTAGCCATAACGGTGATGATAACATGCTCTTTCATGTTGAAAGGGCCAGGATTCAAACTGAAACTCCAACGGCCACCAAACACACTGTACTTTGTCTTGGGAAGGGTAGAGGCCATGAACTTCCCAATGGGCAACACAGCTATTTGCATGAGAATGGCAGAGATGGTTAAGGGTTGTGTGCGGTAGATGAAGAAAGTGTTGAGGAATATCAAGATTGTGCATGAGGTTAGACCAAGAAACCAAGCTCGAAATGTCATAACTGGGAGTGATGGATCGTCGGTTTCTGGGACCACCAGAGCCACCTCTTCCACCGGACACCTGTCCTCCGGAGGTGGTTCTCCTGTCAGTTTCCCGGAATCCATACCTTGGTGGTGGGTGGTGGACGCCATTGCACAGTTTTTTCAAAACTAGTTAGTAACTTGGTAGTAGTGTACTATTACTAGATATAACGACTGCTTACATGGTGCGGACAGGTATATATAGAAACGGAGGGAGAGACACAGTAAGAGGGAATGAGATTGCTATACTGTTCTTAGTTGGATGTGGTTGGTTATTGGGGGCAAAAATGATATGATACGATAGTGTGTTCTTTTAATAGTGACTTAACCTTTACGATGTTAGTGCCCCCAAAATTAAAATAACCGCTAAATTGTTTTTGAATAGTCTTGTTCAGAACAAGACATAGTTCTTATCAAGTTTCTGGACTAAAATTTAATGCGGATCCATATATTGTTACACAGTTTTTAATTTGTTTCACATTACTAAACTAGAATGTCGGTACTAAAAAATTGTATACAATTGTATTTGTCACTCTCTCCCCCTAAAACGATTGATGACAACTATTCTTTAATGGTCGGGGAGCTTTCAATTAATTCATTTCCATTTACAACAAAATGTGGATCCGCAAAATTTGTTTTTTTTTTTTTTTTTTTTCTGGGTCATAAAAAAGGGTTGTAGAGGAGCCTAGACGGTGGAAACCGCATATGGTCCTTAATGACCACTTGACCCAACTAGATTTGTACCCCCACCAAAACAATAAGAAGCATGCCCCACAAGATTTATAGTGAATCGAACCCTGTTTGCTAGCCTAGTGAAAGTTAAGATTGACTGTAATGTGGTACGACACGCCATTGGACCTCCAACGCAATGGTCAGGTCCAGAGACTAGGTTAGGTATAGATGTTTTGATAAGTCATATGAATGATAACCAAGTAAAGTTTCAATTATATTTAAGTTGAGGGGTAAGACTTTAGGTATTATTACAAAATAAGACTTAGCTTGATGATTACAACAAAATACAACTGTTTTGGGATTGATCAATTTTTAAGTATCGCTTGATATCATAGAATCATAATTTAATAATCTAAATAAGTTGCAACTGGTCTTTATTTATTTGTATATTTCAATACGACACCAAAAACGATAATCTAGTCTTACCTCAATCTGAGTAATCCAAGCTTTGGCAATGCCTTAATTTGTAATATAATTACCTTGGGAATCAAACTCCATGGTGGGATACAAACAAAGGTTTAAAAAAATAAAAAAACACATCTTGTGGATGGATCAGAAGCATGAACATGTTGATGACACTAGCTAAGGTCCAAATTGCACTGACCAGCTTCTTGTGAAACGCAATTTTATAAGTTAGATTGTCATGCATAAAATTATTTTTAATCCTCAAGATGAGCAAGAATATTCATCAGCTATTACAAATGCAAGTGGACCTCTGAAACTATACCCCCACATTTCATATTGTCCCACGCATGTTTACTTTCTCCAATTGCAGCTTAAACTGTCCCAAAGAAAATTTTCACCCAACTGGTAGTTAAGGAAAAGAACACTCCTTTTAACATTTTGAAATTCTATTTTTTATTTGATTTGATTTGCTAAGAAAATATATCCACAAGTCAAAAATTTAAGCAATTTGNTCTATTTTTTATTTGATTTGATTTGCTAAGAAAATATATCCACAAGTCAAAAATTTAAGCAATTTGAAACTTTAACCCATAATTCATGGTGAAATGTGAAAAAAATGACTAATTTAAGCTTCAATATAAATCGAGGGGCATAGTTCAAGGGTTTAAATTCATTTGTCGTCATATGAACTACAAAAAACTACTAATTATATAATATTTACTTGTCAAGCCCATTAATTGAACTAGTATTTTTATCTTCTCAATGAACAATGTTATTGAAATCTAATTAAGTGATTAAATTTGAAGATCTAATTCATTATATCTATTAGATCCGCTGTGAATCTCAATACTAGATGACTTACCTTCATTTAATAATCATATGAAATTAAATCTTCAAATTAATTAGGAACAAAATTAAGTACAAATAGATCATGTTTGATTTGTATATTATAAACTATTTTTCTGTTTTCTAAAATAGTTTTTGGAAGAAAAATTGTGTCACCAGTTGTTTTTTATTTTATTTTTTGAAAATTGAGAATAAAAAGTGGGTAAATTTATAGAAAACAAATTAAGACTGTTTTTTGTGTTTTTGGAAACAACTTTTTCAGAATTTAGAAAACACCACCACCCCACTTCCACCACCACCACCACTATATTTTCACCATTATCACATTTCTATTTTTATTATTTTATGTGTTATTGTTCAAATAAATTTTATTATTTTTTATTCCGTAAAATTATTTTTGAAATCATATAACTATTTACAACACAAAAGACATCAAAACGCACTTTTATAAAATTCTTCTTAAAAGTAATTTTCAATGTTTTTAAAAACATAAATCAAACATCACCGCTGTTTTTATCCAAAGTGAAGGGATAAGACGTCATGACCCAGACTTAGCGGTTGTGGAGGCTATTGCTGCAATTTCAGAACACCGCACTTCAGAATATGGAAGACTAGAATGTGGGTAAGTTTGATTACAACCCACTCACTACCTAAAAATTATAGTTCATTGGACGCAGTTGATCAATGAAAATCGTCCGCTGGTGGTGGCTGTCACTTTTTCTAGCGTCCGAGATCCACGTGCCGGAACGCCTCCGACACACTTCTCCTCTCTCTCTCTCTCACCAACAACCATGTCGACCTGTATGTGTGGGTCCCATTTGGAACATTAAAAATGGATTGACCATTTGCCAATGCAACGAATTTTAATTTCAATTTAAATCTATTAATCAAATATGAATTAATATTTTATTCTATTTATTCTATTCACATTTGATTAAGTTTCTTTAAATAACTTTGAGTTTGTATATATATATTGATGATGCACAAAATTGTCTACGTGCAAGATCAACAGTCAAGTATATGTAAGTGTGCAATTAATGAGTGACAAACAAGCAATCAATGACAATTAAGAGTAAAACAGTAAGTAATAGATCAACACAGGGATTTATAGTGGTTCGGTCCAAGTGACCTACTCTATTTTCAAAAACGACAGCGGTGGCTTGGTGTTCTTTGTTGATGAATCATGATCTCCAGAGAGTTACAGTGTTTTTGAGAGAGAGAGAGAGATAAGTGCAGAGAGGTTTTGGAGGCTTCAAGGTGCAGAGGTCTCAAGAAGGTCCTTGGAGGCGTACCTGACCCTTCATGTTGAGAGGGCTTATATTATATAATTAGGGTAAGATAGTAGAGGCAGTGACGTGAGGGAGAAGAATTCTATTGCTTTGACAAATATTGCTATGGTAGGAGATCTTTTATATCTATCTCCATATTATCTTTCCTCGTGCTCCTATTCATCCGGAAGAGAACATTAGTTGGACTTGGACCTAGACCTGGATTTGTCTTGAGTAGATTTAGCTTGGACTTGGACTTGTCTTAAGTAGGCTTGGCTTGGACTTGGACCTGAACCTGGAGTACCAAGGTGAGGAGGATCAAGAGGAGGGGCGCTCAAGGGCTACCATGGGTGGCGCCCAAGGGTCTGCCTAGGCGGCTCCCAAGGGCCTGCCATGGGTGGTGTCCAAGGGCTCCTTTGTCCTCTTCCTCCTTCGGCCGTTGGCTTTTGGTGATGTCCTCTTGGTGTCCTCCTCGATGGGTCGACAATGGACGCTTCTTTGGGCTTTCTCGATTTATTTAAATTGGGCTTGACCCAATAAAATTCGAGCTCATTATTTGCCCCCCATGCCCTAAACCTCTGATTTTCGGTGAGAGGAAGGGGTTGTGGGCATGTGCTACAACTTCACCTGAGTAAGTCAAATTTTTCTTGTATTTTCTTCGGTACCACAAGAAGTTCATGGAAACNGAAGCAATTTGAAACTTTAACCCATAATTCATGGTGAAATGTGAAAAAAAATGACTAATTTAAGCTTCAATATAAATCGAGGGGCATAGTTCAAGGGTTTAAATTCATTTGTCGTAATATGAACTACAAAAAACTACTAATTATATAATATTTACTTGTCAAGCCCATTAATTNGAAGTTCATGGAAACTAGGAGTTCAAGCAGTTGTGGAAGAGAGAAAGAGAGGAGGAGTCCACGCCCTTGATACCATAAGAGTCTCCCATGGAGGTGTTTTGGGCGGTGCCCACGTTGGAGATGGGAGAAGTGAAGAGGGCTTCAATGGTGCTCTCTTGGAGAAGCAGCTGAAGAGTCCAAGGAGGGAGCATTTGGTGGGTGACACCCATGGTGTACATGTGAGCTGCTGGGCGGTGCCCATATAGCTGAGGTGGGCGCTTAAGACCACGAGGCAGGTGACCCAAGGCAAAAGGTAGGCGCCTAAGGCAAGAGGTAGGCGTCCAGGGGCATGAGGTAGGCGCCCAGGGCCATGAGGTAGGCGCCCAAGGCAAGAAGTAAGCGCCGAGGGCCATGAGGTAGGCGTCAGCACCTTACTGGGCGGCACCTTCTTTGCTGTGGACCCCGGTATGACATCAAATGTAAGGGGAGACTTGGTGGGAGACGCCAACTTGACAGGCGAGGCAGGAGCATTGCAAACGGCTTTGGGCGCCTCTTCTGGGTAAGAGGGAGAGCTAGGCGGCGATGATGGAGGTGGAGGTTCTTTGTGTTGTCTTCCCTTCCTCCCAAGAGGGTGATGCCCCCAGTACTTTTCGACCAACGCTTGATAGTTAGGTTGCTTTTTGGGAGGGGAGATCTAGTGGTGCCCCCATTCCTTCCCCGACTATGACTTCTGGAGCTAGCCTTTGGAGTTGAGACTCCCATGCGGTCTTCTATGGGGACTGTAGCTTCACATAGTTGTCCTACTTTGACCTGACTTTGATGAACGAGAGNTTCCTTCCCCGACTATGACTTTTGGAGCTAGCCTTTGGAGTTGAGACTCCCATTCGGTCTTCTATGGGGACTGTAGCTCCACATAGCTGTCCTGCTTTGACCTGACTTTGATGAACGAGAGCCTTTGGACCTGTGGGATATTAGAGAGACAGGCACAGGGGGCTGCTGAAGAGCAAGTATGGCTCGAGTG